GTAAATTTCATTCCTGGGCTACTATACAGTCTCAAAGGCAACGTAACCAATCTGGCGAATTTCAATTTCAAATGTAACGTGTTATATTTGACCCTGTAACTTCCCAAAACGCCATAAAACCTGTACATAGGGGGTACTGTCTTACACGTGAGACTTTACTAAATACAAATATGTGTATTTTATTGCAGTAAAAGCAAACAGTATTATGACAATGACCGTTAAAATGTCATGTAGAACTAAAAAAATCCAAAAAAAACGTATTTTCTCCCATTTTTTTCATATTAAATTATGTTTCATAGCTAAATATTTGATATTAAATGAAAGCCCTGTTTCCCCTGAATAAAATGATATATAATAAGTGTGGGTGCATTTACTATGAAAGAGGTGTATTACGGTTGGACAGACATGTAGCGCAAATGCCAGGTTTTGTTTACATTTTGTTTTGTTCACAATGTGTACATTTGGCTCCGTCCTTAAGGGGTTAAGTTATTTTTACTGCGGTACTGCTATTTTGTAAGAATTTCCATGGTAGTTTGATAACCCCCATCTCAGTGTGAATTGAAGGACATTTTTAAAATGTAATCAATAATAAAGGTTTATACGTGGATTGAAACATGAAATGTTTCTACATTGTTGTTATCAGGGACGTTTTAGCCGCGAGGCAAACAAGGCATTTGCCTTGGGTGGCATTTTCCAGGGGGTGGCAAAAAAAGCCGCCCCAAATGCCCAGGGCAAATGTCTTTTTAGCCTTGCGGCTTACTGACATGTCGGTCGGGCTGCTGGGTGGTCAGGGGGGCGCTGGTGGGCGGCTGGCGAGGGAGCACTTCCTCAGAGCTGTCTGCTCAGCTCCCTCGCGCACCGCAGAGTGAGGCTAGGAGCCGGAATATGACGTCATATTCCGGCTCCCAGCATCACTCTGCGGCTGTGTCTGTTAGTGAGTGTGTGTGTGTCTGTTAGTGTGTGTCTGTTAGTGAGTGTGAGTGTGTTTCTGTTAGCTAGTGTATGTGTATCTGTCAGTGAATGTGTGTGTGTGTGTGTGTATTTAGAAGGCGGGGCGGGGATTTGTGAAAACACCAGGGACCACAGCCACTGCTGACAACATACAGTACAGCCCAGCAATGAGGAGCTAAGCTTCAGCTCCTGTCAGCTCATACTGTAATGAGGCATGACATCATTTTAGAGAGACGGGAGGGTACTGTGCTTAGAACCCAGTGGGTTGCACCACTGGATACCAGTAATGAAATACCTTCGTGGGTAAGTAAGCTGTAGGGGTGCTTAGAATAAATAAATATATATGGAGCTGTTAAGATCCTGATGAAAGCCATGAAGTTTGGCTGAAACGTCGATCAAATCAAGTTTTAACCTATGAAATAAAGAAATTCCTTTTAAAGAGACCAGAAAAGACCGTGAGTGCTTGCCTTCTGTTCCCTATATTTTTGTATATATATATATATATATATATATATGTATATATATATATATATACATACACACAAAAGGAGAAATGGCAAGGAGTAGAACAGCACATGACTGGAGAAAAGAAAAATAAACTAGGAAAGAGAAGGGACAAAGGAACATGAGCAGGGGAAGTGAGTGGGCATGAACAGGAGGATAGATGGGACATGAGTATGGGGAGTGAGGAGACATGGGTAAAGAGTCAAGGTGGACATGACTAAGGAAAGGAATAGACATGATTTGAATAAGGAGAGGAAAATGGATGAAGAATGGTGATAATGGGAAGGTGTGAGTCACAACATATAACATTGCTTGTGACATTGATGTGTCATCCTTGTGTCAATCTTGTTGCAAACTACCGCTAGTCTTATGTTCAGCATCATCAATATTGATGAGGATTTCACTTTGTTTTGGCAATTTTGGCATAACTATGGATGCTGAATGCTCATGACATATGTGCTTTAAAAATGAAAAATCAGCCGGCGTCATTTCTGACGCTTGTCCTCCAGCGTCATTCTTGGGACATCGTCTGCACACCGTTTGGTGTTATAAGAATGATGCATAACAATCATTGCAGAGCTAGCTCTATTTAAGTTCCCCTCTTTGTCTTGACCCTTGCTCTGTCATTTGTGCATTTTTACTTATATGTGCTAGTTTTTTTCTGTTTTGTCCTGCCCTAGACCTTGTCTTGTGATTGACCATTCTGTCTTATTAATTTGCGTTAAAGCTGGCCACTCTAAGGTCCGGTAATACACCTGCTTTCATTCTCTGTACTTATCTATCTTGGTGTTACTTAAGTTCTGCATGTAGTGCTTAGTACTGCCATGAAGACACGGAATTGAAATGATTAGGAAAAGGAAAGTGACTTCGCATTGGAAAGGAGTAAAATTGACATGGAAATGGGGTGCATATACATTACTTATTCCACACACGTGTGCATACACTGTTATTCCACAAACGTAAATGGACACTCCTATGCCCAAATACAAAATAAATAAAAATATCACTAGTTAGTTAATATATACCCAATGAAAACATGCATGCATTTTTTTATAGGGGCTATGCATAAAAATATGTTTTAAAAGCTTCAGATCTCTTGTCTAAAGTCATTGAAAGCCCTCCCCTTCTAATCCCACCCTGACTTTCTGTGGCTGTCCAATCATAGACTATACAAAACAGCTTCCCAATTGCTTACCTCTTGAGTTTAGCTACACTGAGCTAACCAAACCAGGAAGTAATAGGACCAGTTGTCTGACTGACAGCCAAGGAAGTATAATAGGATTAATTTATAAAAGTGCAAATTGCTATTGAAATCTGCACATGTTGTAAAATGTGGGGGGGGGGAGAGAGGACACAGTAAAGAAGGAGACCATATTTAAAGGAAGAAAAACTACCACAGCAAGAGGGCATAGACTTAAATTAGAGGGGCAAAGGTTTAAAAATAATATCAGGAAGTATTATTTTAATGAGAGGGTAGTGGATGCAGGGTAGTGGATGCCGTCCAGCTGAGGTGGTAGGGGTTAACACAGTAAAGGAGTTTACGCATGCGTGGAATAGGCATAAGGTTATCCTAGCTATAAGATATGGCCAGGGAACTAATGAGAGTATTTCGAAAATTGGGCAGACTAGATGGGTCACATTCTATGTTTCTATGTTTCAGTTTTCACATATAAAGCACTTCAGCAAGGTAAAGTGCTTTAAGGTTCTGGAGTGTCCCTTTAAATATAACCCTTCCCTGTATTCACATGCTGTCACTCTACACAAGTGTATTCATCTATAGAGTCAAACCCAGCTACAAAAATACAATCATGAATACATATAAAACCCTGAATTAATCAACACACCACAAGTACGTCCCTATATTCACATTTGCACCCATACTCTAAACAAATGCATGTACTAACAAATTCTCTGAAACGCCTTTGGAGACTGCTTATGGTAGAGAAATTAACATTCAATTCACAGGCAACAGCTCCCTCAAAACTTGCGAGATCTGTGGCATTGTGCTGTGTGATAAAACTGCACATTTTAGAGTGGCCTTTTATTGTGGCCAGCCTAAGGCAGACCTGTGCAATAATCATGCTGTCTAATCAGCATCTTGATATGCCACACCTGTGAGTTGGATGGATTATCTCGGGCAAAGGAGAAGTGCTCACTAACACAGATTTAGACAGATTTGTGAATAATATTTGAGAGAAATAGGCCTTTTGTGTACATAGAAAAAGGCTTAAATGGGGGGCGGGACTTCCGGTCGGACGGAGCGGTCGCATGTAACCGCAGCTCCGTGATCGGCACGGCCTAAAAGCGGCAGAAAAGCGGCGAAAGAGCCCGGAACGACCCTACCAGGGTGCCCAACAACAGGGGAACCACCTACCTCAAGGATGGCACCCCCGAAGTCCCAAAGGGCATCAGATTTCTTCCGGCAGGGTAAGGGAGGGAAGCAGCGCATGGAGCAAGATGGCGGCGGCTCCCGCTCACCCACTCACACCTCAGATGCAGGATCAGACTCAGATATGAGGCAAGCAACCGCTGAAGATCTGTCTGTGTCGGAAAAGCGCCTGGCGGCAATGCTGCAGGACCTGCGCACTTCTATGAAGACTGACTTCCAAGCTGCGGTCTCTGAAATGCGCAAAGACATCCATGAAGTGGGGACACGCGTTAATGCACTAGAAGAAAAGACTGACGAGCTCTGCCACATGAATGACACCATGGTGGAGAAAATACAAAGAATGGACGCTGATAACAAACGCCTTATGGAAAAACTGGCAGATTTGGAGGATCGCTCCCGCCGCAACAATATCCGCGTGCGCGGGGTACCAGAAACAGTGACACAAGAAGAGCTGCCGGCCTACCTACTGCGACTCTTCCAAGCGATCCAACCAAACCTAGAACTGGCGGACCTCCGCCTGGACCGGGCGCACCGAGTGCCAAAACCTCAAAACCTTGCACAAGAAGTGCCAAGAGACATCGTGACCAGACTGCACTACTACTCTGCGAAAGAAGCCATACTCACGGCGCAAAGGAAGGCCTCAGCGATGCCGCCAACCTATGAAAATATCTCCCTATTCGCCGACCTCTCACCGACAACAATGGCCAGAAGAAGGGAATTCATTAACATTACGAAATGCCTCAGAAACAACAAAATACCGTACAGGTGGGGATTTCCTACAAAACTCCTCCTCTGGCGGAACGGCTCCCTAATAAAGATCGAAGATCCGGCGCTGGGGATGGACAAGCTCAAGACCTGGGGCTTGTTCCCAGACGGCAAAGCACCACACACCCAAACCTCCCTAAAGAAGATGACCGCGGACTGGTCCAAAGCCTAAAGAACACTACCGCCACCCAGAAGGGGGTGCCGGCTACAACACGACTCGGTTAGAGACCCGTGTGACCCCCCCCCATGGTGACCACCCCACTCATCTGGGAATGGCATAGCTTGAAGGACATTCAGCACCCACGTGAGTACTCTTGATCGCCCTCACCCCTAACCCAACACAAGAGAAAAAGTGACTGCCACACCACAGCGCAATTTGGCCCACCCTGTCACTGCGAGACTTACCCCTAAGCAGTCAGACTCGCTGCTCAGACCCTTGCAGAGACTGCCCACTAAAATCTGAACCCAGCATGGCCGGACAAAGGCCGAAAAACTGAAAGGCGCAGAGACTGTGCTCACCTCTCACCCCCCCCCACTCACGGATCTATACAGGACAGCCAACGGCTCAGCCAAGCCCCATACCTCCCCCCCCACCGCCTACTTTTTCGAGAGAGCCGGGCTCTGAAAGAGGTACAGGCCTCACCAAATATCAGACGCCCCCCCGATACACCTGTGGGACACCGCCTGCCGTTGCGACCCCCTCTCAGTGCAGTAGAGGGTGCGAGCTCGGCAGCAGGGTCCCTCACATAATGCTTAATAGCTGTTTGAAATGTATATACTTTATTTCTGTTTTATGGTTTTGTCTCTTAGGTTATGTTCCAGGTTGTTCCCCCTGCCCTAACCCCCTTCCCGAGATGCTCCCCCTTCACTACTGGGTACGACGAGGGGAAAAAATAGCCTCACCCAACCACCTCTGTCACGTAGTGGCAAGGGAAAACACTACACCCAAACTACCGGGCCCTAGGGCCACCCCAACTAGTTAAAATGACCTCCGCCAATAAATTCCGCCTGGTGTCTCTAAATGCCCATGGGCTGAACACACCACAAAAACGCAGGCTGGCGTTCTCCCAATTACGCACTCTACACGCCTCTGTGGCATGCATACAAGAAACTCACTTCTCAATTAAAAACCCACCAAAATTCTCGTCCACATCTTATCCACAAGCTTACCATGCCACGGCACCGAATAAGACACGAGGTGTTAGCATTCTCTTCCACTCTGATTGGCAATTTAAATGTGAAGTAGAATACAAAAGCCCCGATGGCCGGCTTCTAATACTAGTAGGACTCTTAAATGACGTCCAGGTGACGGTAGTCAACCTCTACGCCCCCAACACTAACCAGTATGACTTCCTTAGGAAAGCTTTACAACAAGTAGACAAGAAGAAGAAAGGGCAGACGCTTATATGTGGAGACTTTAACTGCGTACTGGACCCAGCTCTAGATAGGACCGGCAAACCCTGTTCCCACTTGCGATCAACACAGCTAGGGTTGAAAGTGACAGCACTCCTCAACTCACACGGCCTACACGATACATGGCGTTCGCTATACCCAGCGTCTAAAGACTACACGTTCTACTCCAAGGTACATGATAGATACTCCCGGATAGACATGTGTTTAGTAGATGTGAAAACGCTAGATACCCTGGAGGAGGTATCGATTGCCCCCTTGACTTGGTCAGACCATGCCCCCCTCACTTCAGTCTTTACCACGCTCCACCCGGTCCGGGGTCGGGGACAGTGGAGACTAAACGAATCACTGATAGACAATGTGAACAGGGCGGCCGAGATAAGGAGTGCCTTGGCGCACTACTTTGTAGATAACCACTACACCGACACGAATGTCGCAATGACATGGCTTGCCCATAAGGCAGTAATGCGCGGTCTGCTAATACGACAAGGGGCAAAACTGAAGCGCCAACTGACAGAAAAAAGTAAGACCCTACTGACCGACTTAAAACAAGCAGAAACACGACACAAGACCTCCCCCACACACTCCAACAGGCAGGAGGTACAGAAGTTAAGGGCCACTATAGAAGCACTACAGATGCAGCAAGTGGAACGGGCAATTCGCAAAATGAAAACCAACTACTATAGACAGGGTAACAGAGCGGGCAAAATATTAGCCTCCCAACTCAGGGAACGCACCTCGCAGGTAAAGATCCCATATATTAAGGACGACACGGGCACCAAGATTAGAAACCCCAAAGCGATAGTAGACAAGTTTGCCCAATTTTACGCAAGGCTATATAACCTGTCTGAGGACACCAACCAACACCAACCCAGTCCCCAAAATATTACTTCCTTCCTAGACGGAGTGACTCTCCCTCGACTTTCCGACGAACAGGCGGCTGCACTGACCAACCCAATTGAAGCATCTGAAGTATCAAAGGCTCTACACGATACGCCCAGACACAAAGCCCCAGGCCCAGACGGCTTCTCAACCCACTACTACAGGGTTTTTGAGGACCAGCTACTCCCCCATCTCACGGCCCTATTCAACCACATTTTAGAGTCGGGGGAGATACCCCCGGAAATGTTGGAAGCCACCATTATTACGCTCCCTAAACCAGGCAAAACTACTGATACATGCGCACACTACCGCCCAATCTAACTCCTCAACGCTGACACAAAATTGTTCGCCAAGACCCTTGCAAACAGAATACGCCCTACACTAGCTCAATTAGTATCCCCAGAACAATCAGGGTTTGTCCCGGGGCGACAAGTAGAAGATAACACCAGACGAGCCCTTGACGTAATGGAACTCATGATCAGAGATCGATCACAGGGCTTAATAATGGCCTTAGACGCAGAAAAGGCCTTCGACAGACTCCACTGGGGTTACATGACAGAGGTCCTGCGTAGATTCAACTTCCCGACAAAATTCCTAGCTGGGCTCTTATCCCTCTACTCATCCCCCCAAGCCACAGTCATGAACTCTGGTTTCATTTCCAGCAGATTCGCCCTATCGAACGGCACAAGACAGGGATGCCCCCTATCGCCCCTCATTTTTATCCTGGCACTGGAGCCCCTGCTCCATAAAATCAGGACTAACCCCTGCATCCTAGGCGCCCCCTCCCCGACAGGCCCGCAAACAATGGCAGTGTTCGCGGACGACATCCTTCTCTTCCTAACAAACCCGCCGGACTCCCTACCCGCCCTACTGGACCTACTACGGGACTACGGCCAGGTCTCATACTACAAAAATAATGTAGCGAAAACACAGGTACTCCCGATGAATATGCCCAGTTCACAACTCACGGCCCTACGAACGTTATACCCCTTTGAATGGAGGAAGGATACCATTTCCTATCTAGGCACACAACTAGCACCCTCCAAACAGCTCCTCATAAAACATAACCACGGGCGACTCATAGCAAAAATAGAGCAGGTGCTGGAGGGCTGGGGAAGCAAAAACGGACACACATCCTGGTTAGGGCGCATAAACGCCGTGAAAATGATGATACTACCGCAAGTATTATTTCTATTCAGGGCCCTACCCATCAGTCTACCAAACTACACCCTCCGAGCATTTCAGCGACTCATCAACGCACACATATGGAGGAAAAAACCACCCAGAGTCTCACTAGCAAATATTAGCACAGCCATGGGGGGAGGCGGGGTGGGTGTGCCACACATAACCAAATACTACCTAGCAACAAACATATCTCAGACGGCGCGCCTCCTCTCCACCTCGAATTGCCCACTGTGGCACCAACTGGAAAGTGCTGTCTGTGCACCTCACTCCCTTAGGGACCTGGTCTGGATCCCAGCCAAGGCCCAACCTCGACTCACGAACCCTCTCGCAACAACCAAGCTGTCCCTGCAGCTATGGCTGAGATGGGCCCCAAAAATGCTCAGTGTAAAGATAGAGACCCTTGCCCCATTGACAAGTCTCCAGCACCACACACATGACCTGGATCTGGGCGAGTGGGTAAATAGGGGGCTGACGCAGATAACTCACCTCTATGAAGCAAATGGGCTCCTAGCGTTCCCGGACCTCCAAAGCCAATACCACCTACCAAACAGCGAAATATTCACATATTTACGCATTAAAACATATCTTAGGGGCCACCGGCAAGGAAAGGACACCAACACAACCCCAAAACCACTTTGACTTGCTATGCCAAGGTCAAAAAACCCCCAAAAAACCACTCTCCCTGTGTTACCATAGGTTGCTAGACATAGATAGACCGGCCAAACAATCATACATGCTCAAATGGGAAAGAGAATTGAACTGCGAACTCGAGCATGGGAAGTGGATAGGGGCCATGACACTGGCTAAACGGGCGACAAAGTGCTTGGACCATGTAGAAGCAGCCTACAAGATGTGGATGCAGTGGTACTACACGCCACACAGATTGGCCCAAATATACCCAGGGGTGCAGAATAGATGCTGGCGCTGCAGCCAACAAGGGGGAAACACGAGCCACATATTCTGGTACTGCCCGGCACTTAGCCAATACTGGCAACACATCCAAGACATAATTACATCCAAACTAGGAAAACAATTACCACTCAAACCCGAACACTATCTGCTCCACATGCTACCCCGAGA